CATCTGGGGCCAACTTAGGCCTCCAAGAGACTGCATCTCACCACATTACTGTTCCCCCACCCAGGGCGTCTGCCCACCCTCCAGATTGTTCGCTGGGGCTCCAAGGCTGTTACCCGCCACCGTCGTGTGATGCACTTTGACCGGCAGAAGCTGATGGCTGTGACTGAGTATATCCCCCCAAAACCTGCTGTCAACCCACAATGCCTGCCACCTCCTCCCAGCCCCCCACAGGAGGTAAGGAGGAGACTGTATGTCGCCTGGTGGTAAGCTGGTAGATTGAAGTGATATTGTCTCTGTGGCCATAATGAAGTAGCCTTCTAGGATACAGTCATCCACGTCATTACTTCTCCACTTTGCCCTGTGGTCCGGACACTTTAACATGAAATCTGCACTTGATTCTGCATTGGTCTTTTGGAGTCTGGGGATTAGATGAGCCTCCTGGATTTCCTTTGTTCTCTAATTGTCTCCAAAAATGTGTGTCTGAAAGCTATCCCAGCAGATGAGGGTAGGGAGAGTCTCTGTCCCATCTTAAAAGGACTGGAAGCCTCCACATTTTCTAGAAGTGTTTTGTCCTTAGAATGGGAAGCCCAGCGGAGAATTTGTAATTTCTTGGAGGTTCTCAGGTCCACAAGTTCCCATGTTTGAGAAATGCTGCCTTAAGAATGTGAAGTCTTAGTCTGTGAAAATGCCTTAATTTTGGATTAGGACTGCAAAAGTGCTATCTTATATTTGTGGTTGGTAAAGTAATTCAACGTGAATACAGTATCAGATAAAGTAACTTGGACATTAGTGTCAAATAGTGTTGGCTGGGTCAGATTGCTGACCTCAAGGGGGCTGAGTGTTCTCAGATTTGGAAAAAACTCTTCTAAAGACTGCAGTTATCTAATAAAATGGAGGAATAGCACCGGAGATGGAACATGTCTGTGAGTCACAGGTCCAACTCTTCTGCCTATACACTGATCTTTCCCACATTTGGGCATCACTCGGAGCCCCAGCAGCCATCCCTGAAGGATAAGGGGTGTAGGGAGAAAAGGCAGCTTATGGTCCCTCAGTCATCCCTTCCTGACTTCAGGAGACAGGCCTCGTCCGGCTCCTCCGTCGAGAGATAGCAGCTGTTTTCCGAGACAACCGAATGATAGCTGTCTGCCAGAACGTGGCTCTGAGTGCAGAGGACAAGCTTCTTATGCGGCACCAGCTGCGGAAACACAAGATCTTGATGAAGATCTTCCCCAACCAGGTAGGGAGCAGCCCTCTGTCGTGGGTTGCCCATATTCCCCTCCCCGCCAACTCAGACCCTGGTGTCTTTCCTAGATAGGGCACTTCCAATTCCTCCCCTCCATAGACAACCCTTTGGTCTGGTGCTGAAACTGCAGTTAGGAGCTGAGAAGACCCTTATCTGGATGCCACCTGTGACCACAGTATGTGGCTTTTCCTTCTACTCATCCCCAGTAAGCCCTTCTTTCCTGCTGTTCCAGGTCCTGAAGCCCTTCCTGGAGGATTCCAAGTACCAAAACCTGCTCCCCCTTTTTGTGGGTCACAACCTGCTGCTCGTTAGTGAAGAGCCCAAGGTCAAGGAGATGGTGCGAATCTTGAAGGGTGTGCCTTTTCTGCCATTGCTTGGTGAGCAGGTGGTCCTGCTAGTTGAGGTGGGGGTGATGGGGAGTGGGTGCTACGACTGCCTGGTGCCATCTGCTAGGTATTTGTAGGGAAAACTGTGGACATCCTTGGAGGGGGCATCCTTTTGTGGATGGGGCCTGAGTTAGTAGCAACATTTGTTGAAGGCTGCCTGTGTTGTCTCCCTACTGAAGATTCAGGAAGGCAGAGAGAAGGCTTTGTGGGGAGAGAAAGTTCAGACATTTTGAGTCTAGCAGTGGGGACGTGGGTGCTGAAACCCACACAAAGATACTTAAAGCAAGTATCCCAAGGGCAGGGTGCTGAGGGAGAGCGGGCATGCTTCCCAGACTCCCCGATGCTAAGAATCCATGGAGGTGCTTCTATAGAGAATACTGATTTCATAGGTCATAGGTCTTTGTCCGGTGGAGAGTAGGAATATGCGTTTATAATCACATCCCCCTCCCCTTAACCACACACTCCACGGTTCCAAGAAAGTTTAGGAAGCAGTGACTTAGTGGGGGTTGGGCCAGGGGGATGTGTTATGTAAGGGTTTTAGGGAATGGGGGTGGGGATGGTGCACAAGTGGGAACCAGATTTGGAGGAAGGCTGAGAGTGGTGAACGGCAATGGAGGGCAAATTGCCCTTCTCCACCTAGAGTTGGAACATTGTTTTCAGAGAAGAAAGAACATTGTTTTGCCATCTGTGAGAGCCTCGCTGACCCTCTGTTCTTCCAGGTGGCTGCATTGATGACACCATCCTCAGCAGGCAGGGCTTCATCAACTACTCCAAGCTTCCCAGCCTGACCCTGGTGCAGGGGGAGCTGGTAGGAGGGCTCAGCTTCCTCGCAGCCAGGACCTGCTCTCTGCTTCAGCACCAGCCCCGCCATCTGACTGCCCTCTTGGATCAGCACATCAGACAGCAGCATGAGGGAGACTCCATCGTGCCAGCCAGTGGGCAGCCCACTGGTGATCCTGCAAACCCTGTTCTGGACTCCTAGCCAGCTCATTGTCCCCAGCCTGCCCATAAATATACTCTGCCCCCATTGGCTGTGCCATTCTCCATTGGAGATGGGAGAACTTGGGGTGGGGAGTGGCATTTGTTACCTGGCTCCTACTGACAATGACCTCAGGTACAGAGCCACTCAGAGATGCAGAGGGACTTCATTTCAGAATGGAGCTCTTAATCTCTGTCTTTGTTCCTAGTTTTCCCAACTTGAGACCTGATAGAAGCGGTCTCTTTCGGCTCCCAAGGTCCCAGAGAAGCTGAGCAGATGAGGATATTGCCCTCGCCTCTGTGTTTACCGTCCTTTGTGGCATGTGTCTCTCAGCCTGTCCCCTCGGGGGTCCAACATACCAGAGTGGCTCAACTGAGTAATTGTGCTAAGGATGGCATCTGTTGAGAACCTACTGTGCTTACACTTTACATGTGTGTGTTCCTTTATTTCTCACCATGTGAAGAAAGCTAAAGGGTGGAGAGGTTAGACAGCCTGCTCAAGGTCGTGCAGTTAGTAGGTGGCAGACCAGGGACTTGAACCAGGCCCCCAGCTCTGAAGACTGTGCCTTGGATTTCTACACCAGAGCTTCCTCATCTGGGTGCCAGTTGTGTCTGAATGTTAACTGTCCACTCCCGGCATGTGCCATGTCACGGAAAGGTTGGGGTTGCTGCTCTGTGATAAAGCGCAGTGTGTTTTACCTTATCTGTTGTGGTGGTCACAAGCTTACCTTCCCTGAAGACTTATTCTCAGGATCATCTCTGACTCTCACTTCCCTCCCTAGAAAGTCCTTCTATCCCCAAGCCTGTTACCTCCCTGTATCTACTCCCACAAATGGCATCTCATATGCTTGTCCTTTTGAAGGCAGCTGCCAGCTTTTCCAATAGCTAACATGTCTCAGGTGGTTTTGAGCAAAAGAACTGGGGGAAACCAGGATTCTGTATTAATGAGGGGGCTTGGGGTCTTTCAAGTGGGAGGCTTTATTGGAGTGTAAGGGAAGCAGAAGTTCCTAATGAGGAGAGAGAGGATGTTTAACTAGAAGCCACTAGGTAAGCTTCCAGCCCCCAGTGGGTCCTGACCTGCTGGGGCATCACCCCAATATACAGCCTCAGTGTGGGGGTGGCCAAGTGGTTGTCTCAAGCCTTAACTGCTCCGCTGTCTCTGCTCATGACACTTGTTCTTGATAGGAGTGCATTCTGGGAGGACATAGTGGGGTAGGGAGAAGGTGGCTGCTGAGTATTCCTCCCAGACTTGGAGCAGTGCTGCAGCTTCCATAGTCCTGGACAGACACAGCTCTGGCAGCGATGACCAGCAGTTTTCTGTGGCCTGGTCCAGAACCAGCTTCCCACAGTGCCCAGCTCTGTGCTGGATGCCCCGGGATGCTTGATAAATATGAGTTAAAAGGCCTTGAGGCTCTTGGATGTCACAGCTGGCCTGGCAGTGCTAAGCAATGCTGTCCTGGCTCCTGGAACCCCTGGGCTGGCAGGAGGTCCTGAAAGCAGGCATCTCCTGAGGCGTGTATAAGACCCTGAAGGGTAAGCCAAGGCCTATGTGGGGATGAGGTGAGTGGGGCAAGCGGCCTACCTCTGGATCAAAGAACCCGCACTGCATCCTTCAACGGCTGGCAGCGCCTGAGGCCCACCATTAAAAACCCACTTCTTAACAGGAAGTGGCTTCTCTGTCAGTGCATTCCATATTCATCTGAATGAATTGTAGGCCCTTCTCTGGAGCTGATTTTTAGTTAGGATTGAGCAGCTGAACACAGTACTCCAGCAGGAAGGCAAAAGGGCCCAGAAAGGGAGGCCAATGGAACCTGCACTGGCTCGCCAGCCCTTTTGAGCATCTAGCTATCTACGCCCTACTCTCCTGACCCAATCAGCAGGATCAGGACTTGTTTTACCACATAAGGTGCTTCCAGCCTCCAGTGGGTTCTGACCTAGTGGGGCATCAACCTCAGGGTGGGGCCGCTAACTGGCTGTTTCGAACCTCCTCGGCTGCCCTGCTGACTGTGCTCTTAGTGCCTCTGTTGTGGTCCCCCAGGGACATCCATTCCTTCCTGTCAACCTGATACCTCTGCTGGCTCCAAATTTTGCAATCTATTTTCAGATGTAGAACAAGATGGGGAGTTAATAAGGAAATGGCCTTGGGTACTAACTGGGGTCAAGGCCATGCTAGTCTGAGTAAACCCTTTACCACAGCCAGCTTGAGGCCAGCAGCTCCCCAAGGCCTCTGTGGTCCATCTGGAATTGTTCCCAGTGGGGACTCTGCTTTGACTCCCAGGCTGCCTTGGGGCTGGGGAGTCCGCTCAGTCCTGAGTCCTCCAGGGAGCAGGGGGGCAGAGCTGAGCGACTGCCTGGGACTTGGCGGGAGGAGGGGTGGGGGAGGGGAGGTGGGGAGATCCGGCTAGAGGGGAGGCTCCGGCATCTCCTTCCTTCCTGGTTCCTGCAGCAGCTGCTGCCCCTGCTCAGCTCCAGGAGAAGGGAGCGGGCGGCTTGGAGACGGTGACTCAGAGGCGGAGCGGCGCGCGAGCCACCGAGCCCTGGTGTCCATGGACCCTGAGGTAAGAGGGCCGCGCTGGCACCCGCTGACATTCCCCGAGAAGGCTTCCTCCCACCTGAAGCTGGTGGGTCAGCCCCTTGGGAGATGGGATCGGGAATGGAGGTGGAGAGGGGGCACCCGCCTGGCTCACCTCAACCCCACAGCCTGTACCGACAGAGCTTCCCCTTCCACTCACAAGCAGCGAGGGGCCAGGATCCTACGGGGTCAGGAAAAGGGCACGGAGAGATACCCCAACACGGGAAGAGTTTGGGAACTTTCAGTGGCTGAATGCAGTTTTTTCCCCGGGTTAGCCTCTTGTAGCAGCCGCCACTCTGTCCCGACCTCCCAGCCACTGCCTCCCCACCATGTCCCTATCCCCTTCCAGGCCCCAGCTCCTCAAGTGCTTTGCTTGCTAACTCCACCCGAAGATCTGAGCTGTTTCCCCAGCCTCAGGCCAGCCTCGCTTCTTCAGTCCCCTCCCGTCTCACACATGCAGAGCCTCGTGCATTATCGATCTCCCCCCGGAGCCAGGATGGCAGGGCCTGGGCCAAAGGCGCCTGTGGGCCCTGCTGCGGGACCTGTGTAGACCTTGGCCACCTCTTCTCCCACCCATGGTGTCTTCATTGGCCAGTTTCCTGTTCTCTCTGGGTGGGTGGTACTTCTCAGGAGCCCAAGGACTGGGATGGTAGAAAGGAGGCTTTGGGGAAACTGAGGATCCGAGGTGGGCATCCTAGGGGGATGTGTGATGAGAAGAGGCACAGGGGAAAATAAGGCTCAGGCCTCAGTTTCCCCATGCTGAAAATGGGAGCCCAAGAGCTAGAAGATATGGAGACCAACTGGTGGGGAGTCGAGATGAAGGGGTTTGGGGTCTTTACAGGGGGATCATGGCAGAAGAGTTTCCAAGCGTCTGGGTGGGGTGTGGGGCTCCTGAAGGAAGAGGAACTGGCTTGGGATCTCGCTTGTCCAGTCTCTGGATCCTCTGCCCTTTTTTGGAGCCTCCTTCTTCTCTCTCCTGCCTCACCTCCGATCACCCTCGGGGAATCCGCCAGAGAAAGCACCGAGTGTTTCCTGGAGCTCGGGAATGTGTGCCCAAGGTGGGGCTGGGTGGACTTTTCACAAGTTTCTCTTGGCTAACCCTGCCGGCAAGAGCTAGTTCATCTCCTGGAGCAATGGCTGCAGCAGGAGGGTGTAGGCAGGGAAACCCGCCCAGGGTGGGGTAGGAACAGAAGAGGCATGCCAGGTGAGCAGGTGTGTTGGTGAGCTCTTATCTCAGAGGGTGCAGGATGGGTTGGAGGTGGGGAAGGTGATGGTAGGGTCTGTGCTAATGGGGCTTCTCTCTTGCTTCAAGGGCTCCCTCAGGACAAGGAGACACCTCTCTCCTCCCGCTGTGCTCTCCATCCTCAGCGGGGAGTGGCTGCTCCCATCTTCATGGACTTCCTAGAGAGGGTCCCTCCCTCACCGGCTGAGAGCACTCCGTCTGCCAAGCCCAGCGGTGCCCAGCAGGTCTGAGGGTGGGGAGGCAGGCAGGGTGGGTGGGCCTAGTGTGGCCCAAAGGGGAGGGGGAGATGTGGTCCCCTCACCAGCCACTCCACAACCTTTCTGCCCTGGACTGCAGGCCTCTGAGCTGTGGGAGGTGGTGGAGGAGCCTCGGGGCCAGCTGGGAGCAGAGCGTATCATGCCCGAGAGGCAGGAAGGCCACCTACTCAAGAAAAGGAAGTGGCCTCTGAAAGGCTGGCACAAGGTAGGGTGGGCAGGGCAAAGGGAGGGGCCAGATGCCGGGCGGCTGGTGGTGGTGGGGCTCCTGGGCAGCATGGGCTGTTTCTGTATCAAGAAGAAAAGACTGTGTGGTTGCTCTCTCCCTTTCCTCTTGGCCTCCCGGGTCCTTTTTCCTTCTGGGAAACATCACAGAGATACTTTGTGCTCGAGGATGGAATCCTTCACTATGCAACGACTCGGCAAGATGTGAGTCAGGGCCTCTTCTGGGGGTTGTGGGAGGAGTCTGGTCCCTGAACATCATGGGCCTGCAGAGGGGTCTGGAATCCATCAGAGCAGGGGCTGAATCCCTGGAACGCAATTCTGGGTCTGGGGTCTCAGGCAAATTACTTCCCTGGGCTTTGGCTCCCTCATCTCTAAGATGAAGAGAGTATTATCACCCATTAATAGGGCCACCGTCCTGGTAAGGGCTCTCAGGACAGTGCCTGGCACAAAATAAGTGCCCAAGAAATGGGAGCTTTATCATCCTTGTCCCTTTCACATGCTGGGAACAAGAACCTGCAGGCCTAGGCACTCAGGCTTTCTCTCAGAATGTTGTTTTCTTCCTTAGCCTTGCAGATTTCTGAGAATAGGAATAGTTTTTTCCTTGCTCTGTGATTCCCTCGAGCTCAGAAGGTGGCTTGGCATGGTGGGGTGTTCTGTGCACAGGAGGACAGCCTACAAGTCTGAGCTGATGTTGTGACTTGGGCAAGAGGGTGAGGCGGCTGCCTGCCCTTGAGCCTAAAGTGGCTTCAGAGAGATGGTGGCTCTGTGGCCCTGGGGGCCTAAAAGCAGTCCCTTATTTCCTGCCAACCCTCCATTCCAGATCACCAAGGGGAAGCTCCATGGCTCCATTGATGTCCGACTCTCTGTCATGTCCATCAACAAAAAGGCCCAGCGCATTGACCTTGACACAGAAGACAACATCTACCACCTCAAGGTGACATCCCTGGGAGCCAGGTGGTGGCTTGGCCCCCAGCCTGGCAGAGGCACTGGGCCATACAGGAGGCAAGGGCAGGGGCTGAAGGTCTGTCCCTGAATTTGACAAGAAGGGAGTTCCCATCATAGACAGTAGCCAATGGCAAACCGCCCCTGTTGTTTGGTATGTGAACAGGCACAAAGCTAAGGGCTCAGGTACCTGGGGATGTTGTATTCCACCTTCCTGCAAGAGGTCTTTGCACAAGTTGGGCACTTCAAGGGGAGACCCTGCTTGCGTGCGGACAGAGCACTGACGCCTTGCTCCTGGAAAGCAGTCCCTTCTTTTATACATCCTCCCCTCCATCGTTTCTGCAGATCAAGTCTCAGGACCTGTTCCAGAGCTGGGTGGCCCAGCTGCGTGCCCACCGCTTGGCCCAGCACTTGGACATGCCTCGGGGCCCGCTGCCCAGCACCACTCACCGGAAGGTAAGTTGGGCCCTGGGTGGGGACTGGTGATGTGGGGATTGAAGGGTAAGACACTGAGAGCTGGGCACTGTCCTTCTTGACCCTCAACTCACCCCACAGGCTCCCAGTGCCCAGCTTCCAACGGCGGGTAGTGCCTCACCTCTCCCTGGGCTTGGACCTCGGGAGAAGGTGTCTTCCTGGCTGAGGGACAGTGATGGGCTAGACCGCTGCTCTCATGGTGAGAGGCCCCTGGCACCGTGCCTCTGTGTGCAGGGCCCATGGTCTTGGGTCTAGGTGGCGTCGGCAGTCACAAGAAAACAGAAAATGTCATCTCCGTCCCTGCCTCACAGGGCCCAGGCTGATAGGCTGACAGGGGAGGTAGCCTCTGCCTCTAAGCTGGCCAGGCCTACTTGGGCCCTGCCCTGGGCAGCGTCAGGCTTTTCGGTGGGACTTGTGCTCCAGTCACGCAAACACAGACACAGAACCAAGACTCAAGAGAAAGAAGATACGGAATGCCCCAGCAGGGAGGATCCTGGGAGTAGTGCTGGGGAAGGGGTGTGCTCCAGAACCTGGTTCCTGGTGTGGGGGGCTGTGACATGGCCTGAGAGAGGGATGTGCCAGCCAAGTGGGGGAGAGTGAGGTCCTCCCTCCCCGGTCTGTGTGGAGGCAGTGGAAGAAAGGTGTGGTCTGGAGGCAGAGTGGAGTTTGGCAAGTGGGCTCCCTTGGGAACCTCCTGCAAGTCCAGACCAGGGAGTGGGGACTGGAAACTGCTTTGGGCTTGTGAGTGGAGGAGAGGGAGACAGTGTCAGGATTTCTGTGGCTGCCCAGTGACATGTTTGGAGGAGGGAGAGAAGCTGAGGGACGGCCTCTGGGTGCCTGGTCAGTGCCCAAAGAGGGACTTCCTTGTCACCGCCCCTTCCCCCTCCCTGCAGAGCTCTCTGAGTGTCAGGGGAAGCTCCAGGAACTGCACAGACTCCTCCAGAGCCTGGAGGCCCTGCACCGAATCCCCTCTGCCCCCGTGATCCCCACACACCAGGTGAGGGCCAGGGAGGAGGCAGGGGCCTGCCCAGCATCCCCCTCCTGCTTGCCACCTTCATCCCCGTTACTTCCCTGGGACAGGTCCTCACGCCACCTTGTATGTGGCAGTTCCCTGGAGAGCCACACATCTCCCGGTCGCCTCTCCCTGCATGTCTCCCTGCCCCTTGGAGGGGCCCCTTCCTCCTCTGCCCACACGTCTGCCATGGTGTCGGTCTTTTTCCTCTGCCATGTCAGCTGTCTGTGCCCTCCTCCATGGCCACCTGCCTCTCTCCTGACTTCTGTGCTTGCTGCCCCCTGTCCCCACATTGAGAGTGAAAGTCCCCCCTCCTCAACTTGCCAGGCCTCAGTGACAACCGAGAGACCCAAGAAAGGGAAACGGACCAGCCGCATGTGGTGCACGCAGAGCTTTGCCAAGGATGATAGTATTGGACGGGTGAGGAGGGGGTGTCCCCCAGGTCGCTGGGGTGGGGTGCTCTAAAGGAGGCTGTCTCCCTCCAGTCCCTCCCCTTCACCCACAGGTTGGTCGTCTCCATGGCTCTGTTCCAAACCTGTCTCGCTACCTGGAGTCGCGGGACCCCTCGGGTCCCCGTGGTCTGCCACCCGCAGACTATGCCCACCTGCAGCGAAGTTTCTGGGCCTTGGCCCAGAAGGGTGAGTGTGTGTTCGAGGGGTGGCAGGGAGCAGGTCAGGGAGGGAGAGGAGTTTGATGGCTGCCTCTGTCCTCACAGTGCACAGCTCCCTCAGCAGTGTGCTGGCCGCCCTCTCCACTGAATGGGACCAACTGAGGGACCTGCACCAGGGTTCAGAGCCGTCAAGGATGGGGGTGAGGCTCGGGGGCAGGGTAGCCAGTGGGAGGAGAGGGCTTGAGGCTGAGGACTGCAGTCCTGGGAATGATAGCAGATTTAGGTTGGGGGAGAGCAGTTGGCAGAGGCAATCTCTGCAGAGGTCAGCGTGGCAGGGCAGGAGGGCTTCATCCTTCCGGCGCCCTGTCCCTGCAGGTCTCTGAGGCCCCAACTGGCCCAAGGCGCCTGCACTCACTGTCCATCTCCTCAGACACCACTGCAGACTCCTTCAGCTCCCTCAACCCTGAGGAGGTAGGAGCCAAGGTGGGCTGTGGGGACCATTTCTCCTGGGCCTTCTTTCCCAGCAGAAGTGAAAGCCTGGCTTTCAGACCTGAAACAGGGCCCAGAAATCCTAGCTCCAACTCCATCCACATAACATGGCTAGCAGCTGCATCTTCGTCATACCTTAACAGTGTGCAGAGGGCTCTTGCTTTGAATTCAGAGTCCCGTGAGGCAGTGCTTCTTACCTGAAGTTCACAGTGGAGGAAACTGAAACTCAAAGAATGTAACTGATGAGCCTAGGCTCCCTCAATTGTCGACTGGCTGAGCTGGGACTTTGGGGTTCCATGGGTTTGAATTTGGCTCCATTGCATGCTGGCTTTGTGACCATGAGCCTCAGGATCCTAATCTTCACTGTAGGGGTAATATTTGCACCTACCTCATAGGGTGTCAGGATTGATCGAGTTAATATATGCAGAGGGCTTGGAGCCGGGCTCAGAGACAGTGCCCGGGAAGTAGAAGCAGTTATTAGGGAACCTAACTCCAGGCCAGGATTTATCCCACCTGCCTTTATGTTCCACTGTACTCGCTCCCCTCTGCTTCATCTCATGCTCAGCAGGTTTCAGACTCAGTAGAAATCCCCAGTTAGGCTTCACCCTCAAGGAAACTGTCAGGCAAGGGGAGCCTGCCTGACTGTGTCCTGCTCCCACAGCAAGAAGCTCTGTACATGAAGGGGCAGGACCTGACCCCCCAGCTGTCCCAGAGCAGTGTCCTGTCCCTTGCTGATTCTCACACAGAGTTCTTTGATGCCTGCGAGGTCCTGCTGTCTGCCAGCTCTTCTGAGAATGAGGTGAGGGACGAAGGAAGCTGGCAGTGGTAGGACCCTGGGAATAAAGGGGCGGGGTCCAGAGAAGACTAGAATTTGTAGATTCCCAAATCCTTTCTAACTGCCTCAGCCGCTATCTCTGCCAACATGTCCAAACCTGTTGGGTTTGTGAGGCCCTGATCAGAAATCTCTGCTGGGGTCCTTCCTCCAGTTGGAAGTGCTTTATCCCCATTGGGTTCTCCTGACCCTGCTGCCTCAGCTCCACCTCAGCCATCTTCCTGTGAACCTGTTTTGGCCTCAGCACTCCCTTGACCCGCCAGCCCCAGACCCTGAATCTCAGGAACCACCAACTTCCCTTCCCTTTGTGTTCCACCAAGACCCTGAGCACCCTGCCCCTGCCGCCTCCGAGCCCCGCCGCAGTATTAGAGCCAGGCCCTCCTCCTCCCAAGGTGGCAGGGCACTCTGTGATGCCAGGCCTCCCGGGGCAGTGTCTTAGGGCTCAGAGACCCTCCCAAATACGTTCTCTTCCCCTTCCCACCAAAGGGCTAGCTGGGTGCAGTCTTGCCAGGCCCTGGGCACTGCCCAGCTGCCCAGGGGAGGCCCAGTCTGCCCGGCCTGTCATCTGTCCCGGCCCAGGGCTCAGAGGAGGAAGAGTCGTGCGCCAGTGAAATCACCACCAGCCTGTCTGAGGAGGTGCTGGACCTCAGGGAAGCTGTGCGCTGCCAGAAAGGTGCCAGCCAGGCGTGCAGGCAGGGAGGGGCTGAAGGTGGGCGGAGACGTGGTATTTGCCTGTGGCCCAGGCCCCTTGGGGAATACTCCCTTGTGGTGACCGGTGGGCTGGTGGCTCTGGATGCTGACTCCAGAGGTGACCCCAGGAAGTGAGCAAGGCTAGACTATGAGCTGCAGAATGTTCCTGGTGTGGATCCAGGGGTGGGTCAGACTCAGGCCTGGGGGTAGCCTCCGTTCCAACTGAGAAGGCTCGCAGAGGGCCTAATAGGCAAAGGTCCCACTTTGTCACTTCTTAGTGGTGTGGCTTTGGACATGTCTCATCTTACTTCTTGGTGTCTGTTTCCTCATCTCTAAAATGGGCTGAATAATTTGCTTCCTGACTTTGGTCTCTGTGTTTAGGGAAGGGAACAGAAGGCACAGGTGGGGCGTGGGGAAGGTGCAGGGTTTCCAGCAGTGAGAACCACCCCATCTGAGTGCACCTCAGCCTTGCTGCCCACGTAAATGCCCTGGGACTCAGCAAGAATTAGACCCCAGCCCTGCCCCACAGTGAGTGGAGATGGGGGCTTGGGAATGAGTACTTCCAAGAGCCCCTCAGGAGCTTGGGAGGCAGCTGGCTGTGGGCTGGCCTGAGGCCTGCCATGGCTGGATGCCGGTGCCCAGAGAGGGTGATGTGGGTGGGTGACCAGGGGGGTATCTTCCAGGGAGAGCTGCAGGGCCACCCCGTCGCCGCTGCCTACCGGCAGCCAGCGGGCCCGGGACTGACGTGAGCCTGTGGAACATTCTGCGGAACAATATTGGCAAGGACCTGTCAAAGGTGTCAATGCCTGTGCAGCTCAATGAGCCGCTCAACACTCTGCAGCGGCTCTGTGAGGAGCTCGAGTACAGCAGCCTCCTGGACCAGGCCAGCCACATCGCCGACCCCTGCGAGCGCATGGTACCGGCTGCACCTGCCCTGGAGCCCAGCTACCACCGCCTCTTTCTCCCGTGGGCCCTGTTTCCCAGAAATCCTGCTGGGCTATTCCTTGCTGCTGAAGTCCCACCCCAGGACCCCCATCCTTGCTAGCGCTGGGGTAGCATCCCCTTCTCCCGCCCTCCTGTGACCCCCCAGTGGCATCTCCTGGCCTCCTCTGCAGGTGTACATTGCAGCCTTTGCCGTCTCTGCCTACTCCTCCACGTACCACCGGGCGGGCTGCAAGCCCTTCAACCCTGTCTTGGGGGAGACCTACGAGTGTGAGCGGCCTGACCGAGGCTTCCGCTTCATCAGTGAGCAGGTGTGGCCCTGGAAGAAGAGGCTAGGTCTCTTGGGTATCTGGGCAGATATCTGGGTCTCTGAGGCACCTGGGCTTCAGAGGAGAGCATGGGGCACCTGGCTCTGTGCTAGGCACTGTACCACATGCTGGCAGTGCGGGGGCCTCTCTGCTGCTTAGTGTCAGGGGTGGACTTGAAACAAGGAGCCCCACGTTCTAGAGCTGGGATTGTGGAAGCTCATAGGAGGTTATTCGGCTCCAGCTGGGAAGGCAGCTCTAGGGAGTGATCTAGAGCTCAGTCTGGCCGGAGAAATTAGAGTTCACCAGGAGTACAAGGGTGGAGAGAATGGGATGTTCCAGACGGTGTAAGAAACACAGGGGGCATGTTTGAGAAGAGTTGAGATGGGGCAGGAAGAAAAGGCAGGGCCAAACCCCGAGGAGCCCTGTGGAGAGGTCAAGGAAGGCTGCTGGGGCGGGGGGTGGGAGGTGGTCACTGGAGGGCTGTAAGCAGTAGAGTGACTCAGAGCTGCAACTCATAAAGAGCGCCCAGGCAGCAGTGTGCCGGTGACTCACAGAAGGCCATTAGGAGGCCATTTCAGTCATCTCTGTATGAGCTGGGGAGGGCCTGCACTTAGCCCAGGGCAGCTGGAATGGGAGGACATCGGACTCAAGGGCTCTTTGAATAGCCCTTGACAGGACTTAGTGGTCAACAGGATGTTCTTACATCTAAGGGATAGGGGAGGTGTTTCATGATATGGGAGAATCGAGTGACCTCGAATTTCTGGCTGGGGGATTTCGGTGGGTGTGTGATGGGGCCAGTTAGCGAGCTGGAGAGTAAGTGAGGCAGTTCACCAAATTAGGAGGCCTTTTCCTCACAGAGCACTGGGTGGGGCTGGCAGAGTGGGGAGTCAGCAGCTGAGATGGAGAGTCCCAGCCTGCTGCTGGGAGAGGGCCTGGAAAGGCGGAAGGGCAGGGTGGCTGCCCAGGAGACTTCGAGGGTGTCTTTGATTTCCTGAGCGGGGAGGCTTCAGAGAGGCTGGACTGTAGTGGGTTTAAAGTGGAAGCAAAAATTTATAAAATAGAGGAAAATGCAGATTATTTCCAAAAAATGTTACCAAGAGTGAAAGAGGAAGGAGATGGGGGCAGCTAAAGGCAGGGGTAAAGGTTGAGGCCATTTTTTTGTTTAGATTTTAAGTGTTTTTGAAAACCTGGTGAAAGTTCATGGGGTACACTAGTACTTACAGTAGAAAATGACCCCCCACCCTGCCCCTCTGAGGGGGCCCCGCTGACAGTGTTTGTTTTCTGTACATGCAAGCAAAGATGTACAGGTTTAGAAAGGAAAAGCTTACTGTTTTTTAAGATGGAAGAAATGAGATATTTCTGTTCAGAGAGAAAGAGGAATCTAGAGGGAAAGACTGCAGTGCCAGTGGGGAAGGCAGGAGGGGTCCTGTGGGAAGGGGTGGAGGTGGCGAGGGGGGCAGTAGGCTCTGGCCTGGCAGCAGGTTGGGTGGGAGCCCGGAAGTTGGTGGAAAGAGTTACATCTCTGTTCTCCCTCTGATTGTGGGGATGAATGTGGTTTGAAAGGGGAAGGCTTGGGTGTAGGCCCTTTAGGAGGATCGAGGGTGATGCCGAGGGCCCAGGTGTAGACATCATGCAGAATTAGTTTTCCCCTGTGTGCTGCGTCTGGTGGGGGGTGTCTAAAGAGCAGGGAGCCAAGGTGGATGGATGAGGCCAAGGCTGGGCATTGTGGTCGGTAGGGACAGTGGGTTCACAAGGGTGCTGGGTGAGAGGGTGCAGCTGATGGAGAAATCTCAGCTGAGCGGGAAGAAGGCGAAGCTGGGCTCACAGGCCTCAACAAATCAGAGCCGCTGAAGTCTTGGCAGGAGCCGTGGGAGTGGGGAAAGAGGCCAGGCGGGCTGTCCGTGTAAACCGGAGTTCAAGGTTCCAGGTGTGGAGCCAATCCAAGGAGCACAAGGCCAGGTTTTTCCAAGGGCATGGTGTGGAGGCTACAGGGTGAAGGTCAGCCTTGGGGGAAAAGATGGTAAGGGAAGGGTGTCCTCGGGGGAGGGCTGCCTTTCAGGTATGGCATGGGTGGGGCCACAAATGTCATTGTTGGAGCACTTTGTGGGCTTGAGCAGGGGTCTGGGGGGCACTGTAGACAGGTGGCAAGGAGGGCTCTAGGAGGGCATGCATGAGAAGCGAGGACACAGGGGCCTTGTGGGAAAAGAGAGGATGATGGGATTTGGGTGGTGCCAAGGATGACAAGGACAAGAGCCCTGGAACTAACTGGCTTTCTGGCTTGCAGGGAACCTGGGAATGGGAGTAAGGGATTTGTGGGGGCCCTGAGGTCAGGAACAGATGTCCTGGTCCTCATTGGCAGCCTTAAGAGACCTCTTTTGCTCTTCAAGGTCTCTCACCACCCCCCCATCTCAGCATGCCACGCGGAGTCTGAGAACTTCATCTTCTGGCAAGGTGAGGACTTGGGAGGCGTGGCGGGTGGGCATGGGGTGAAGGGCAGGTGGGGAAGGGGCTGGAACACTCTCTGGTTTTATCTCAGCTGTCTCTCTCCCTCCCCCAACCCAACTCCAGATATGAAGTGGAAGAACAAGTTCTGGGGAAAGTCCCTGGAGATTGTGCCTGTGGGGACAGTCAATGTCAGCCTGCCGGGGTGAGTGCTCCTAAGCCCACAGCAGCCCGGCCACCCTCCAGGCTGGGATGGCCAGGGGGCAGGTACAGGACAGAAAGGTCTGGCCCGGAGCTCTTAGGGGTGAGGCCGTGTCTGCATGTCCTACACCCCCATTTACAGTAGTTGCCTATGAAGAAAGGTGAAAAAATCCTAGAACAGTAGAGCTAGAAGGCCTCATCAAAGTCATCTGAGGCAGTGGCTTTCACACTTGTTTGACCATGACTCACAGTAAGAAATCCATCTGAGACTTTAAGCGAGTACACACCCACACCCGTGTACACACACACACACACACACAACACACACATACACACACACACACACACACAACACAGAAACCTAAATTGATCTCAGGACTGGCCACAGACCACATTTGAAACACCGTTACCTAGCTCATTTTATAGGTGGGACTGCAGCCAGAGACAAGTCTTCCCCAGCAAGGTCCAGGAGTGAGCGAGAGGCCAGCACAGGTGTGGAGGACATCTGGGACTTCAGAGTCAGAAACCCGGCTGGGAGACTTGGTCTGCTACTTAATAGTTATGCAAGCAGTGACGTTTTGATGCTTTGGAGTCTCCAGTCTGCTCTTCTGTAAAATAGGAGTAATGCCCGATAAAAGTGGGAGTATACAGGATAAGATGTGAACAGACCTACCGAGATTCCTGGTGCCCAAGGGCAGGGACCCTGTCTGTTTTTTCCCTGTGACTTAAACTCTCGGGGGCTTTATCAATGAATGGAGACATGTTAATTGAATGCTTCCTGTGCAGGCTGCTCTGCTTTGTAAAAATACATCATCCTACATGGCAGAGCCAGAACCAGGACTAGAACCAGGGTTCCTTCCACTGACTCAGCGTGGCCTGCTCCAGTGAGATAGGTGCTCCCTGGCTCAGGGTGGCGTTAGTTCCCCAGGACCAGTCAGCTGCCCTCCCATGCTGTCTCTCTCAGGTTTGGGGACCACTTTGAGTGGAACAAGGTGACATCCTGCATTCACAACATCCTGAGTGGCCAGCGCTGGATTGAGCACTATGGGGAGGTGCTCATCCGGAACACGCGGAACAGCGCCTGCCACTGCAAGATCACTTTCTGCAAGGTGGGCACACTGCCCTGACCCCGCCCATCCACCCCCTGGGAAGGGGAGGGGCACCTCCCCTAAGCCCCTGCCCCCACACCCACCCCAGGCTAAGTACTGGAGCTCCAGCATCCACGAGGTACAGGGTGCCGTGTTCAGCCGGAGTGGCCGTGTCCTCCACCGACTTTTTGGGAAGTGGCATGAGGGGCTCTACCGGGGACCCCTGCCTGGCAGCGGCCAGTGCATCTGGAAACCCAGTAAGTGGGGTCATCGGGGAGGGCTGGGCAGGGATGAGAGCAGCTGTGGCACAGGCCCCCTGCCCTAGCCCTTTGCCTCCCCCACAGACTCCATGCCCCCCAACCACGAGCGGAACTTTGGCTTCACTCAGTTTGCCTTGGAGCTGAATGAGCTGACGGCTGAGCTGAGACGGTCCCTGCCCTCCACGGACACGCGGCTGCGGCCAGACCAGAGGTCAATGTCAGGCTGGTGGCACCCCGGAGCCCCCCGGCTCCTCCTGCCTCCGTGTGGGCATCCACACAAAGCTGCGGCCTACCTTCCTTGAGTTCCTCAGGGAGATGGGGCCTGTTTGGGGGGCAGAGCTGGGCGGGGGATGGAGGCCTTGGATCGGCCCCTGAGGGGCCAGTGCCACTGATGGTGGTCTGGATGCCCAGGTACCTGGAGGAAGGGAACATTCAGGCCGCTGAGGCCCAGAAGAGAAGGATCGAGCAGCTTCAGCGAGACAGGCGCAAAGTGATGGAGGAGAACAGCATTGTTCACCAGGCTCGCTTCTTCAGGTGCCTCTGCTCCCGCCCTGGGTCTCTGCAGTCCAGGCTCCCTTCCTTTCCCCCAGGCTCCTCCTGCTCTGAGTGGGACTGGCAATGGGAGGCAGCATCTCAGACCCCTGCCTCATTTCTGTATGTTCTCCCTTCTCCTCCTGTGGCCCTCTTCCCCCAGGCGGCAGACAGACAGCAGCGGGAAGGAGTGGTGGGTGACTAACAACACATACTGGCAGCTGCGGGCTGCGCCGGGCTACGGGAACCTGGACGGGGCTGTGCTCTGGTAGCCCTGGACCCGGGGGCAGGAGGCTCCAGCTCCTCCCTCCTGCCCCCACTTGCCCATGGACTCAAGGGCGAGGCCAGGCTCCCCAAAGCACTGCCCCGAAGACCTAAGGGGCAGCCCTGTCTCTGGCCCTCTCCCCTGTGCCAGCCGGAAGGGCTGCCTCTCAGCCCATCGCCCACCCTGAGTTTGGGGTGGGAAGCAGGATTCATGCTTCCCCAGTCTCATTTCCCCAGACAACCGGCATGTAAGCCCTTCTTGCTCTGTCATCCCCTTTCCTGTTCCCTTTGGGGTGCTTGTGGGGGACTCCAGGCTCTCAGGATCTGGTCTCCATTTCAGTGCCTTCTCAGGACACAGGAGACCCCGATGCCCCCCAGGCTTCCTATGCCATGGGCTCTGGCCCCAGCTTTGTGGTTAGAGGAAGTGAAGGGGGGGAGCCACTTTTCTTCCACCCTGTCCCTCCCGTGCCCTGACCCAGTGGGGCTCCCTTGGCTTGGTCCCTACCAACCTTTCCCATCCTCCTGCATCCCTTTCTTCCAAACTACAAAATGCCTGTAGCTTCCGGTTCCTTCAGCCCTGGACCTCATGTGGTTTCCTTCAGCCTCTACTGAGCGGATTCCCCAGAGTAGACAAGGCCTCTGTGAGGCGGAGCCGACTGAGCAGCCAGAGGCCTGGCCTCAGACCCAAAGGGAGGGAGGGGGCGCGTGTGAGAGAGCGTGAGCTTGTGTGGGAGAGTGTGTGCATGTGTGTGCCTGTGCACTGCTTGCGGGCAAGCAGGATTCCTAACGTAGCCCCGATGTTCCCTCTGCTGGGTGTCCACCACTGTTGCTGCTCATTTTTGCACAGTCTGCCTCTGATGAAGATGAACTGCTATAACATTCCAAGCTCCAATAAAGACTGTCCCCAGCTTTGGCCTGTGACCACTCATTTAAGCATGAAAACATGTATGCAAGCTCAGTGAAGGCCCTCAGCCACCTGCTCAACTGGCCTAAAACTCTGATGTCATCTCTTTCTTTAATCCTCACCTGAATTCTACCTCAATTGTCCCTCAGCTCTGGCCCCTTCTCTTATTTGCATCTGGCTTATCCTGGGCCCTTATCAACCGTTGCCTGGACCACTGCCCCCTGGCCCTGGGGTCTCCAGTCACTCCCATTCTAATGCTGGCTTTTAGGGTGATACTTTAAAAGAGAAAATACCGTTGGTACCTCATGCCCGCTTCAGATACCTCCATTGCTTCTGAAAGGCTGGAGGAAACATCCAGACTCTGAAGGCAGGAAATTGGATGGTCCCTGTCCTTCTCTGGCCTAGAACCGACACCCACACTGAACACCCTGAGTCAGCTCTGTGTCCTCCAGCCTCCTGGGTCAGTGAGTGTTCAAGGAAGAGGTGGGAAGGACGGGTGGGACTAGAAGGGACAGAGAACAGGGCAAGCTGCAGTTTCTCCTGCTTCCCCACCGCCTAGACTGAATTCAAATCCCAGCTCTGTTATTCCAAAGCTGTGTGATCTTGGTCAACTGCTTTACTGTTTAGAGACTTTGATCCCTCATTTGGCTTCTTTTGCATCTTAGAGAACGTGTGTGAAGTGGCCCTGGGCTCCTGATCTCATTAGTCATCTCTGAGCCCCTTCCCTTGCCCCATCACAACAGCAGGCCCCAGGCCCTGCTCTGCTTTGAGGGTCATGCTGTCTCTGGGAGTGGCAAAAACAGAGGGGACCCCAGGGCCATGGCAACCTGTCCAATCCCAGTCCTTTTCTTCTCCCCCAACCCCAAGGGAGGGGTGGTGGTCCACATATCCACAGTTTATTCCTGAGCAGTGTGAAAGTTAAAATGAACACACTTGTTCTGACACCAGGTACTGGAAATAACCCACTCCAAAAAAAAGCCACAGCCTACACCCATTCAGGATCTGTTTAAAATGTGGTGCCCTGCCCTCCACCCCACCCCTCCATTCAGAGCAACACCAACTGACCAGCCTACATTCAATATCCACACACTTTAAGAACTAGAGTTTCAAAAGGACCAAATTCTAAAGTTATTTTTCAAACATAAACAGGAAACTAGCAACACTTGCCCAAGGAGAACCAAGCCCTCTGGCTTGTGCCACCCAGGCCAGCATGCTCTCCCAGCCCAGGCGCCAGTTCAGCGGTGGGAAAATGGGCAGATTGGTTTGCTCTTGCTGGGGCATTCCCTGCTGGAGGAATGATGTCTTCTTAAAACCCTCCCCACCTGGCCAGGGTTTGGTGGGCCATGGCTGACAGCATGCTGAGCCTGGAGCTTGGGCCCAAAGGAGCTTTGGATGCAAAGGATGGTGGGCACCTCCAGGCCACTGGGAAGACAGGGATCAGGTACTCATGTCTGGGCTGAGGGGGACTGATAGGCCCTATTCTAATGCCTATCTCAGTCTCATCTGGTGACATGATACACATGAAGACTGTTCACCACTGGATGGTAGGGCAGCCTGGCACAGACTTGGACCCCCAGTCCTTGGAGGATATGGTGGGCATGGGGCAAATGTGAGGGCTGTGGGCTTAATGGCCCGTGACTTCACTCAGTCAGGAAAGATGCAGGTGGAATGCACCAGTTTATAAAGCCGGGGCCCTGCTTCCCTGGGTGAGCAAAGCAGGAGTAGTGCTTGGGCCAACAAGGGAGGCAGAGGGAGAGGGAGGGAGGCAAGAGGTGCAGTCCTCACCTCACCTCCATTGGGTCCCCCAACTCTAAACCACTCCATGTAGAGAGAGAAAAATTGCCTTTTTAAATTCAGCTATTGAGCAGCTGATGTGATGCCTGGATTGCCAGCAGTGAAAAAAGGCTGAAAATACTTAGAAGTCCCCAATTCCTTGAATGTTCTTAATAAAAGGTGGTTTGGGGTATGTGTGTATGCATTTGTAATAAACCAGAGAGGGGGAAGAGCCCTGAACCAGTGGAACCGCAGAACCAGGCATCAAAGATAAACAGTCAGATGTTAAAGTGGTGAAACAGATCATATTCAGTATGACAGTCGGGGAAAGGGCTGTGCTCCACTAGGATCTGGGCAGAGGGGACGGGCGCTTAAAGGGAGAATGAGGGAGTGGAGGGGGCAAGCGGGAGCTCTGGGGGAGCCAGAGAAGGGAGAAATTACAAAGGGCTGGTGGGTGTCCATGCCAGGGGCGTCTGCTAGCTGGCAAGGATCAAAGTCAGGATTCCTACCTCCTGTGGAGATCAAGAGGCAGGCCCTCGCCTTCCTGATGATGACATTTCAAAGGAAGGCTTTCAAGTCCTTGAGAAAGACACTCCTAAGTTGTAGGAGATACATGTGTACCTCAAAGAGACAGGGGAAGGAGTCATGACTGTAAGCCCTCTTTAGTAAATGCTCTAAGGAAAGGAAGTCAGGGGCCGATCCTCACACTGGCCGGAAGAGTCAGTTCTCCTGGCAACACTGGGCGTTCTCAGGCAGGCATTTTAAAGAGGGGCTGGGATCATCCTAGGGACAACCTCAGGACAGGCCTTATGCTGTCTGGAAGCAGTGTTAGAGTTTGGTGCAGGCGTTTGGATGGAGATGTTATGTGCTGAGGTCGGTAGTTCTCACAGGGCCCTTCCCATCCGCTCCTGAAGGTCAGGGTGAGGACACAGGCCCCTGAAGCCTGCGTCCCCCAGACATGCGTAGCTGAGGTGGCTGTTTGCGGGGCTTCCCACTGTGGCAGGGAAAGGAAAGCAATGAGAGTTGCGGGGAGCAGGGGCTGCCCACAGCTTCTGATTGACCCCTGCTGAGGATGCAAAGGTCTTGATCTCTGACCTCAAGTCTACTGATTTCAGTGTGTCCCTGTAAAGAACCTCATAGGCTATACTATTCTGGTCCCAATTCTCCAGAGTGACCTTAAAAATTCTGAGTTACAGTGCTTGGCCCAGTCCAACTTCTTTAGGGAGGTTCAGGTGGCCACCTGTGGCTGGATCATTAGCTTAATGATACCACCTACCTGGAAATGACCCATTGAACAAGTGACTTCCCTTTTAGAGACCCTCTGGTTCCAGCATGGGCAGAAGAGGAGGTGGGGCTTAGTGCTGTCCCCCTGGGATCCATGTCTGTGCCCCTTATGTGGTCAGAGAGGACAGCATAGGTCTTAGAGGAATCCTCACAGGCTGGCCTAGGCCACATCTTGCTCACCCAGTGACTGCTTCCCAGTACAGACTCTTAACCAGACCACCTAGCCTAAAGAGATCAGGAAATGATCGGCCCTGATTCTTGTCACACCCCCATCCTCTCCTCACCTGTCCCCTAAGAGCCAGTGCAGAGAGGGGTCACTGAGATTCCCAGCAGACCAGAGTGAGCTCAGCATGGGGCTGCTCTGGGGCAGGACACCCCGATCGGGGGGAAGGAGCTTGGCCCTGGGAGGAAGGTTTTAAAGGGTTACCTATGCCTCATTAACATGTCATCACATGGTGTATGATCTTCAAGTTGCTGAAAGATGCTTCCAGGTAGCCCTAATGTATGTGTGTGTGTGCCGGGGGTCGGGGGGTTCATATGGCTAAGTTCAAACCATTGCACTCTGCTCCATGATGCTGGGGATTCTGGGCCTTGCTGGTTCCTAATAGAAGAGGCCTCTCAAATTGTTGGGTAGTCTGGGCTATGAGAAGGATGTGGATGGAAGAAGACACTGGAAGTGTCGGGGCAGGAGCAGGAAGGAGGGAGAATGGGAATGAGAGTCAGCTTCAGAGTCCTCCTATCCAGAACAAGGATGGTAAAATTCTTCAAGCATCCTCGAGAGGGCGCCTGGGTCTCTTGAAAGGACCAGTTCTGGCACATCCTGAGTTCACCTGGCAGCTGGCTGCATCCACTGTCTGCTCAGAGTCTCAGGCCCCCAAGAATCTGGCAATGGCTGCGGCCCAGCTCAGTAGTGATGCGTGGCAGCAGCAGACACTGTTTATCAGCTCACATTCCTGTAGATTGTCAGTGCACAGCCCTGCCCACCTTCACTCCTCAAGGTGAGAACATTCAGTGGGGCAGGAAACCCCTTTTCTGGGAGACCCAGGTGTCCCCAGCCCTCCCAGAAATTGCGCAGGTGGTCTCAGGAACTGTGGTCAGACCCCCTTTGCTGATGCCTCCTCTCTTCCAGGTAACAGCCTCCAACCTAGGAGAGCTAGCTGGTCCAGGACTCCCCCACTAGACACACACACACACACACACACACACACACACACACACACACACACGCATGCATGTGTGCAAAAGGAACCCTTTTAAGAGAAATTTGCCCTAAGTTTCCACTAATATCTCCTGCTTCTGTAGCCCCAAGAACCATCACACACTGGGGAAGGTACCCTGAATTTAGCCTTGTGCCCTAACTTTTGACTTTCAAAGGCAGGCAGAGTGGAGACTAAGAAGAGGACCACCCTTAGGTCCAAACAGCAGGTGCCCTGCCAGGCTCTCTGCTTTCAAAGGTCAGTGTTTAGCTTTCCTCTGACAGTGCTCTTTCCCAGGGGGCTAGGAATCAGTGGGGCTGAGGGAATGTGGTACCAGATCTCTCACAGAGAACATTCTGGGTACTTGGGACCCTGGAAATCCTGGCCAACTGGCTTCTAGAGCACAGTGCAGGTGTTTTTCCCAGGTATACTCTGTGAAGGGTTAACTGTCTCTGTGTATCCCTCCCAGTGCATGACAGACACGGGGATCAGCCATTGGCCTAGGGCCAGGTCTCCCTACCCTGGCTAGGAACTCAGAGGAGTCTGAGAATTCTAAATTTGAACCTGGCCTTTCAAGTCATAATAAAGTTATATTTATCAGTTGGTTTATAATGGTTAAATATTTAACACATGATATGCTGACCTGTATTTGTACCTCAGGGTGGGCCTGAGAAGATTCTTGTGTTGTGCTTCTGAAGGGAGTGAAGTTGTGTCCATTGTGCCCTTCTGGGGAGGATGAGACTGAGGATGAGGGGG